AGTGCTTTGGTAAGCAGGAGTATTAGTGTATGTTTCTGTTCACACAAATAGTCCCTACCTGGCTGACACTACAAATCTCAACCCAGGCTGGTAGGTCTCAGGGCCCACCACAGCAGCACCTGCAGACCAGCAGGCTGCAGGCCCTGAATTGGCAGGTAGGTAGGCAGGCAGGCAGGCAGGCAGGCAGGCAGGCAGAGGCTCCTCCTCTCCCTGCTTCCCAAGCCCTTCTTGGCACCCCCTGATGTGGGCTCCCCTGATTCTCCTCCCTGCTCAACCTCAGACATCTCGCTGGGGATATCTTGCTTCTGTCCCCACAGGGCCCAATGACTCTATGTTTCCTGATGCTTGTTGGATCCTCCTACCAGGAGGTGATATCCAGGACTCTTCAACAGGTTAAAAATCATGCACAGCATTTACTCCCTACCCTCTTCCTTAGTGATGCTCGTGAAAGCATACTCATGTGCACGCATGCACGCGTGCGTACACACACACACACACACACACACACACACACACACACACACGGAGCTCCCTGGCTCTCCCCTAAATCTCAGCCACCCTCTCACACAGCCTCCCTCCCTGGTGATGGCAACCCCACCTCCTTAGTACGGATCTGAGCAAGGCTTTCTACTTTGCATACTTTGGAAAAATGCTATGAAACAAATCTTGGGGTACACATTCAACACCAGAGAGCTAGAAATGTCCACAGAAGGCATTAAATCTGCATGACAGCCTTCTCTGATCCCAGCATCACCCTTCGCAGGGCTCCTCCCCAAGTCCACACAGCTGGTTGCTCCTTAACTGCCCAGGAGCCCACACAGCCAGTTGCTAGTCCCTGAGAAGGGCAGGCCAAGAGTCAGGAGCATGGGCCTCCAAACAGTGCTGGCATGAACTGGGGCTGCGCTCCTGGGGGAGGGGTCCGCTCTGGGGGAGAGGTCCGCTCAGGCTCCAGCTCTCACCCTGCAGAGAGACACTCTGGCTACCTTTTCTCCTGTAGATTGACCCCAGCCCCCAGAACCCACACAGCTGGGGTCCAGGAAGAGAGGAAGGGAGAGAGTGGAAAACTCAGGAGGTGGATACCTCCTCCCACACAGCGGATGGGATAAGCCAGGATAAAGTGGTGCTGTAGGTAGAGAGGCCCAGATCCCAGCATCCCACAGCACTATTCCCTTTCCTGCTCTGCTCCAGCCCTGGGAACGGACTCACGTCAATCAGAGGTGGCTGGCATGCTGGCAGTTCACCTTGACTTACAAGGGTGGATGATATATTCCACTGGGGTTATATTATGGACAGCTAAGCCAGGTAAGAATACTCTAGGCCTATAGAGAGAGCTAGGCCACGGGGGGAGGGGGGTCAATACAGAGGAAGAAAACACATTACATCTATGGCCAGTGGCCTATATGCTTCCTAGGGATAAACAATACATCACCATTAGTCAAGATTCATCCCCAAAAATGCTTCTTCATCTTTCCATGCACACTTGCTACAAGATCATCTTCCTCATTAGACCAATCTACCTAAGCAGCTAAGCTTGTAATCAATCTTACTGGTTGATTATAGTTGTGTCCCATGGTATATTCACCTTGTGCTTTTGCTCTATAAAACCTTCCTATAAAGAGGAGTCTGTGGCTACCCGTACTTCGGGTCCCCTCCTGTCAATCTGGAGCTTTCTTTCTCAAAAAGCATTTCCTACTGCACTGTCCTTAGAATTCATTCTTTGGTTAGGGGGAACACAAACTCAGCATATCTGACATCTAGCAAGTTGGCAGTTACATTTTATTCCCTTTATGTCAGATAGGCACCACATTTTATTGAACCGTTCACCTGTCAGCGGGCATCTGGGCTGCTTCCAGAGCTTAACTATTGTGAGCTGGTTACTAGGATAACAATGGGTGTGCCCAGGCCACTGCAACGTGATGCCTTCACCTCTTTCCGGAAGGTGTAGCGGGGCAAACAGAATTTCTATTTTTAGTTTTTAAGGGAATAGTAACACTGATTTCTGCAGTGCTAATGATATATGGATGATGTAAGACCTCCCAATAATCCATATAATACAAGGAAAATATAACTCCCAACCTGCTAAATGTCTGCTTAACACCAAGCTCACCTAATTGAATGAATTGTAGGTACAACACAGGTTAAGAGTAGGGTCTGTTTAGTGGAGGAAAAAGCTTCTGTCTATAGAGCCAGGACCCTGCTTCTCAGGGGTGTTTGATAGAACAAAACCAGAAGGTGAGTTGGCACAAAAGTATAACCAGCTAATAAGATTAGGAGTATAGTTGCTTGGGTAACAGTGATCCAATAGGAACTCACCCATGAGTATGAGGCGGGACAAAACTATGATCAGCCAATAATAATAGGAGTATAATTGCTTAGGTTATATTGATTAAATGGGGATCAAATAGGGAAGTGAGTCGTGTAGCAAGCACACCTGGCCTGAACAAGAACTTTTTCTGGAAGGAAGGCTTTGGTCCCCTCACCCAAGGTGGCTGATCCCTATTTAGAATATCAATCACTGTTGCTCATCCCGAGGGGAAGTACAGGGCTATCGTCATTTCCTCTTTCCCAAGGCCTGACCATCAACAAAAGCACCTCCAGCTACAGCTGTCATCAGCACTGACTTCTGTGGGCCTGTCCCTGCCTGCTTAGGATATTCCTAAAAGACTGATCCATCTATAATACTTGTAGTATTTTACTTTCCCACCAGCAGAGCACAAGGGTTCTTATTCTCCACATTCTCACCAGCCTTTGCTTTTTTTTTTTTTGGGGGGGGGGTATGTGTGTCCCTGGTAAGTGCCACACTGACCAGAGCAAAATGGAATCTCAATTTGCAACCATAAAGAATAAAATTGTGTCATTAGCAGGAAAGCGGGTGGATCTTGAGACCATGAAGCTTAGTGAAATAAGTCAGATACAGAAAGTTAATTGTTGCATGGTTTCTTGCATGAGAGAATCAAAATATAAATAAATGAAAACAATAAAGGGAAGAGACATTAGAAAACAGGGAGGGGGATTATTGGATATGGAGAAGGGAATGGAGGGCAGGGAAGAGGGGTGAAGGGATGGATAATGACCCAGATGAGATCTATTCCTGTACCAATTCCCCAAGCCAAACATAACTATGATGTTGTGCAAATAAATAAATATATAAATTTACGGTGGGTTACCGGGCGTGCCTAACGTCCAGAACCTACATTTCCACACACTGAGCAACCTCGCCTTCTGGGAGCCACAGTCACTGAAACTGACCTCGTTGGCTCAAGGTTCTGGGCGAGGTAAGCACCATTTCCCCAAGCGGACTCCTTGGAATGCTGGATCCACAAGATGCTTCCCGAGAATGAGTGTGCCGTGGCCAGAAGCAGTTGGCAAACGCAGCACACTGTGGTGTCATCCCAGAGTTCCAGTGCACATGACAAGAAAGCCTCTGCAAAGTTCTGCTGTACAAACTCAACTTACCAGGAGCATTTCCTTGGCATAGCTGAGCACGGTGACCCTCCTCATTCTTTAGTAAAACTGTCTCCAAGCACAGCTTGGTCCTCCAGGTCATACCACCTGACTCACCAGGGAACAGCCTTCACTCAACCCCAGGCAGAGGCCTCCTCGCTTGCAAAGTGCAATCAAGACTATTATCAAAGAGTTATGTCTCCTTCTCACTCTGACAATTGCTCACAGAGAATCTCTGGATAAGGGTGGTCCTGTTCGCAGCTTGGTCTTTCCAGAGAGACATCAAGTCCCTAAACCCAAAATGTCAGGTCAAGGGCCTTCTTATCTCCTCCAAGTCCCAGACCTCTCCTAAGAGGTGGCTCATAAAGTCCCCTACAGGAGTAAAAGGATAGGAGATGCCTGAGGGTCCTGGAGACAAACGGAGCACACCAATGTGCACTTCCTCCCAAACTTCCTCAGGGGACTGAACTGGGGGAAAAGTCAAGGAAAGCTCCAAAAGCGGTAAACACAACTGTGTACAAAGCCCAAGTTGCCCAATCCATTGCATGCCATCCTCAACCTCAGAAACCACGGAGTGGGGGACCAGGCAAACGGGGAGGGGTCTGGAGAGGACAGTTCTCATCACATAAGGATGCAGGCAACAAACAGTAGCCCATCTTTCTTAAAATGTTGAAACTATTAATCATGGATTTTTTTTCTTTTACAGTTTCTTAAGAATGTTGCATTAAATGCCATTGTTCTTAATTCTTGAGTGCTGCCAAGTGTTTATTTTTGCTTCAATGTTTTGCAAAGTCCTGTCGGTGGAGGAATGCTCTGAAGTTCCCTGCTGATTACAGCATGTTCCTAAGAAACCCCACTGCGCCCAGACCCACTAGACTAGACAGAGGCTCCCCGGGGGTGCTGGCCTGGTGCGCTGCCTCTTCAGGCTAGAACGTCCCAGGCAGTTGAGAGCTGAGAAGACAGGCGCCTCTGGGACCCTGGGGCAGAACGTGTTCTGTGTTTCTTGGCCACTTATCACAGATTTTCAAGCTGACCTTCGCAAGCCCCGCGTCCAAGGCGCCACCGCGGGAGGGATCCCAGGCCAAGGGTGGAGGCCGAAGCCGGAGGGGTGCGGCGCCCCAGTTAGAAAGTGGTCGGTCCTTTCCCGGCAGAGGCCCAGGCTCCTCCCGCCCGGTCACTGACCTCGCAGCTCCCCGCCCGGTGGGCGCAGGCGGCCTCCGCCCCAGCTCTTGCATGCAGCGGCCCCAGAGACACAGGACACCCCGAAAGCAGCCTGCAGGGGACCTCAGCCAAGGTCTTCACCTGCCAAACCCGCGCGCACCTGCGCCCGGAGTCTCCACGCCGGCGTTCCCGGAGGTCAGCCGAGGACACCCGGTAACCCCTCCTGGACCCGAAGCCCCAGCGCGGCGCGACGTCACCCTGATCTCGGTCCTCGCGACCGGGTTCCCTGGTGCCCTCCCAGGACCCCAGAGTTCCCCAATCTCCGCGCAGAGAAGAGAGTGACCAGCCGGGCCCGCTTGCCGGCTCTCGCGGTGGGGACCCGCGCCGCCCCTTACCTAGCGCGCCCCGCAGGTCCCCGAGGCGGGTACGACCCGCAGCCGGACTAGCGCTGGGCTGGGCTACCAGGCCGGGCGGAGCGAGCGGAGCCGGCGGGGGAGGGCGGGGAGCCGGAGGGGGAAGGGCTTTGTGCTCCGGACCCGCCCTCCACAGGCGCCGGCTGCCTCGTCCAGCCCGTGAGGGGGCGCGGCAGGGACAGAGGCGCCTGCGCGGCCCGGCCCGGCCCCCTGCAGCCAGCGATTGCGGGGAAGGCTGGGATCTGAGAGTTTGGGAGACCCGGTTCCGGTGTGGGAGGGCCGACCCAGCGGCGTGAAGTTGGGCTCCCGCCGACTCTTCTGGGCCGTTCTTTCGGGTCCGCACACCCAGATTACACCTCTGAGTGTAACTGACTGGCGAGGTAAAAGAGTGGGTGGTAAAGGACACCTCGGAGGAGTCGAGAGAGACCTCTGTTTGGCAGGTGGAAAGCGACAAGGACCTTGCTTTTCTTGTTGCTGAGGGTGTGTGACTCCTGGCGCCTAAAATATCGAGATTTATTTACAAAATACACCGAATGTTTAAATTTTTTTTTTAAAAAATGTATTCCAGTGCAAGGCATTTTGCCATGCGTCATCCTCACAGGCCTCCCCCTCGCTTCAAACTCACTCATCCCATGCTTTTTACCGCTTTCTGAAGCAGCTCAGGAACTCCTTTTTCCTGAGTGTCTTTCCTTGTGCTGTTGCAGCTGCTTCAATGTACCGAATTAATTCACAACACTGATCTTTCGTGGTCGTTTTAATTTTGAAGAGAAGCCAGAAGTCGCACGGCACCGACCCAGTGAATAAGGTGAAAGACGACACAGCGTCGTGCTTTTACGAGCCTGCCTTTCTCTTGGCTCGCACTTGGTAGGAGCATTCATCGTGTTTTGGGTCGAACCTCGTAAAGTCACTCATAAAGTGGACTCCAGAGCTGCTACAGGTGAGTGTGTCCAAAGGGACAGGCAGGACTGTGAGTGGGATTGTCACAGCATGTTTTCTACGGTAATAATTTAATTTAAACACACCATGTTTTTAAAAATCATCCCTGCTATTGTAGAACACCAGCTTGGCTCCCAGCAAAACTTAACCCCCCTCACCTCTCTTTGCTTCCAAATCACCTATTTAATAAATAATTGATCAGCTGCTGTGTGCTGGGCTTTCTTTCTTTCTTCTTC